TTACACACTCTAAACTTAACCTTATCTAGAAATGCACACTAAGAGCAAAAAGAAGGTAAACATTTTTCTTCTCTTCTACAGACATTGAATATGGCAATCTTTCTTTTTCTCTTTACATGTGTGTTTTTATATAGGTCCTTTGATAAGTCTGAAGAGTAATAAAGCAAAAAAACATTGACTTTACACAACAAATCTCTAACTTTTAAAATAATCGCCCTCCTCATGAAAGCACTGAATTCAAGTAATAACTATATTTCCCCGCATAAGCAATTCACTAATTAATTAATTTTAAGAAATTTAACTATTAATTTCACTATTTAAAAACAAAGATGTTTACATAAATACTTGCAACCACTAAATATGCTTTTATATATATTTATAAGTTTAACATTTTGCTTTTGTTAAAGCTTCATCAGAAAATAATATATGGAGGAGGAAAGGAAATTCTGGTATTTTTATTTTTGTGTTGTTTGTTTTTCATGGGTTAAGCAGACCTCATGTGCATTTGTCCTGCTACGCAGCATTTATGCTTGTAATTCATTTGTGTATGCATATCATAACTCTAGTTTGTCTATGCGAGATTTGGATGATAATGTGTATGTTTGTGTGTGTATTGAGTAGGTATTTTTATCTGTTTTTGGTGGTTATTTCATGTTGATTTGGGAATGTTTTGTTTGAGGATGATATTATATATATGTAAAAATTTCTCAGAATTAACCTGTAGAGAAAGACAATATGTATAAAGGAAAAAGGACAATAGGAAAACTGTGTAGTTTTAGCTGCCACATTTCATTTAGTGTGGATTTTTTCATGGCAAAAAACAAAATGAATTTATTGAAACAAAGTATATGAGAGTAGTGATTCTGTTAGGAAAAAAAAACGGGCATAAATTTTTATATATATATATATATATATATATATATTATTTAAGTGATGTAATGGAATAACCTGTCACCCCCATGAGTGACTACACTATAGGTAGTAACTACCTATAAGTATCTGTAAGTCAACGGACTACAGAGTCTAGCTGGGATCTGTTGAGTACAACTCAGACTTATGTGAGAACTACTGACCTTCCAATAGCAGCACTCACTACTGGATTGACTTGCAACAACCTTGTGCATAACTGTTACCATTATTCTTATTGTATTGGTTTTTACAATAAACCTTTACTTATTTTATCCACCTTGTTTTTCAAGGATATATTCCTATCAGCACGAAATATAACATTAAGTAAATGGTCTGTTTATAATAAACAATATTAATTACATTTACCAGCCAGAATGTCCAAGAAATTTTGTAGAAAATATGCGTTCTCCAACAGGAAGTGAACCCATATCCTACACAGAAATGTCATTTGACCTGATGTGCTGTACCATTTAGCTACAGAGGAAGTGCCTGGTTAAATATAATTAATGCTGTTTATTATAAACAGACCATATACTTAAATAATTGTATCTATAAAAATAACATATAAACATATATATATATATATATATATATATATATATATATGAGCTGAAGTGCAAAGAAAATAGAGACATTATTTATACTATTTATATTTGGACTATTGTCCTCACCTTTGTTGTCACGTTTCAGTCATTGTGACCTCCAAACTTCCTCTGGTGTATTTCAATCTGGGTAATCTAAGGGACTTCTGAACTGAACCCTTTATTTAATTTATATCTCATTTTAATTTTTCTCATTACACTGCTCATGCCTAAGGATATCATCCAGTTCCTATTTACAATATGGAAACTGCTAATAAAGAAAGACAAATGACAGAAAATCTTCAACTACAGCAGCAGCAATAATCAAAACATGGGCAGCACCAATCAAGACATGACTGCCAGCAGCAGTTGCAACCTAATCAGTAGCTGAGGTTAGGTTTAAGGTTCTAAGTATATTACAACAAACTGTCCTACAATGGCTTAGTGTGTAAAAGCATTGGTTTGTGAATTTTCTTATATACTGATTGTGAGTTTAATCCCTGGCTCAGGCATGGAATGGACGATCAATAAGTTCAACAGTACTCAAATAAAAAAAAAACAAAAAAACTAAGAATTAGATGCTATCCCTAGACATGAGTAGTGGAATGAAAACAGTCTACCTGCCCACAAAGACAGAATTGGAATGTGTATTGATGAAACACTCTTTGATGAGTGGTGATATCATTTTTGTTGGCTGTATTTGGTTTCATTCTTACATCACTTTTGAATATTGTTTATATATCTTTCTAGAATTCATATACTCCTGGTATACTTTTTTTCTATCCTCCTGAAAGCAGACATCAATTTCAAGATTGAAAGCCCCATCTTTCTGTGGTTAAAAGGTGTTAAACCCTACCCATGTTTGATGATTGACAGCTACACTGCTTCTTTACCTATTACATCATACACTGAGACCATTTTTACAAGTGGAATAGTGCAAATCTAGTGGACGATCAACAAAACTTAGACAATTGCTTATTTATAATATTCAAATTTATATTCAAATTTTTTACTGGAAACCAGGAAAATTGTATGAAATATTAAAAAAAAAGTAAACAAAAAATGTCCATAAAAAAGGACTTTTGAAAATACCCAAATACACTCAATATATTAGATTGGGTCATAAGTTGTTTTTGTTTAACAAAATTCACTTTGTTCATTCCGTTAAATGTGTGTAATATGCAAACATCCAGCTAGCTGACTTATTTTTTCTAAGTGTTGACATATGGTGTATTGTGATGTGTTTAACATCTTTGCTTATTCTCAAGTACTTTTCTGCGGATTGCTATCCACTAATAATTTTATAGCTTCATCATCAAAGTTTGGTGAACACCCCAGTCTGGGATCATCTTCTGATGATGTTTCTCCAGAACAAAACTTTTCAAACCAATTTTGTACCTGCCAAGCAATTATGACTCCTTGACCAGGAACACTACATAATTTTCTAGACATCTCCATAGTGTTATTCTCTTGCTTCAATTCCCATAACATAATGTGAGGTAAATTTTCTTTCAGTCCCTACATTAATGGGGTTAAGAAATTTATTTTTCAATACATTGCCACTGCTATGCAAAAGCTATGGTATGTTAGCATCCTCAGAATTTATTCTTAACTGTCATATATAATTAGTAGTCAAGGTGATACATTTTTCATTACAGTTGACTTGCTGAAATGGAAACTACCCAGGATTTAACATAGTAGGTATATTTAATGAAAACTCCAATCAAATTTTTTCATAGACTTGAAAGGAACATTTTTAGAAGAAAGTACAAGTGAGTTTTAGCATTGCAAAATATGAACCTTGCATTGTCATTGAGAGAAAAAGAACATTTTTCTTTTAATCCACTGTGTATGCTGCCACTGCTGTGCAAAAGCTAATCTATAGTAGTGTACTTGTAATATATTCTTAACTGTCACATATAATTAGTAGTTATAGTTCATCATTATAGTTGATTCCCAAACATTGAAATTATTTATGAATCTACCTAATATATGTGTGTACATTTATCTATAAAAATGTAGAAAAATTATTACATTTGTTAAAATTTTAATATTTTATTTTCATATCTAATAATATTATAATCAGAGAAACACTAAATTAAGATAAAAAAGAAAACATACATTTTCAGGAGATATTTACCTGCATTTCATTAAGCATCATGGGTAGGAATTAATGGAATATTAACAAAATTAACCATTCTTATCTATTGGTAATGATCACTTACAAGCTCGTTTCTGGGAGTTATTTTTATCGTTTATGCTTCATGTAAAATACCATTTGTTGATTATTTTTATTAAGTAGGATGTGTTTTCTGTTCATTGGCTCCATTTTAAACTAAAGGTCTGCTGCTAGGAAAGTTGGTTCATTGTGTCATGCCAGACAATTTTTCTTGTCAGAATTCATCTTGTACATTTATAAATGTACCATTTGCTCGTGCATTGAATATTGTTGCCATAACTGGTCTGGGGCTTCTGTTATATATCTAAAGATTCTCAACAAAATCCAAAGAAGGGTCTATAATGTTATCAGTCCTGATGTGGCATCTTGACTTCTATCACTTTCCCACAACTGTGTCATGGCTTCCCTCTGCCTTCTCTATAAATATTTTTATAACATTTGTTCTTAGGAGAGTTCCTCTTAGCTACCTCAATTGTATGAATTTAAACATAATGCTAGATTTGCAACTAGGTCTCATTATTTTATTGGTGAAATCGTTAGAAGTAACCATAATTTCTATTCTAATAGTTTCTTTGTTTAAAGCTATATTACATTGAAACTCTGGTTCATGTAAAATCACCTAAGTTAAGCAATATCGAGCCAGATCAGTACCTAGATAGGTGACCATTTGGGAATACCAGGTTCTGTAAGCTTGGATATGTGGCTAATATATTGGATAATGGCTCGGAATTGAAAATCAGAGAGCAGAGTTTCAATTCCAGCTGGGTTCATTATATTCACTTACATGCAAATATCCTGAAGTATGAATTCACCTCTTCTCTCAATAGCTATGGGTTAATTAATAGGACTTCGATCAGTAAATCATTATTATGTCCAATAAATTCTTGCAATCTAAAAATATTTTTTGCTTTAACAAGCCATAAAAAAATAAATAAAAATCAAACCAATAATTTCTTTTTTCCCAATTTATGCCTGTGAAAGTCACTTCTGGTTTCATGCCGACCTACCATCTTTGAAAATTTAAATGTAATGTCAATTGCCATGTTTGTTTTTTTCTGAAACATGTTTTTTTATTGCCCTATTTCCTCACTAATGTCTTCTCATTCTCTTTCCCTGGGTGTCTTAGTAGAATTATCGCCTTGCTTGTGGTAAAATAATTAAAAACAAACAAAATCCAGACAAGGCATAAATGAAAAAAAACAAAGAAAACTTATAACCATCAATTAAATAAAATTTTAAAATAAGCCTCAACTTGAGCTTCCAATAATAATTGATGGAAAAACTTCTGAGTTGAAAATGTGAAAAAAGTAAAAAGCCAGCAAATCACTTGCCTTTCCTCAAATGTCATGGCTGTTTCACTTTCCCAACCAATTCTTTGGTAAATTTCCTTGATTTTCTGTTGGAAATAATTCTGTAAAAAGAATTGTAATATTTCAAGATCAATAATTTTTTTAGCCATATAAATTGTAACAAAATAGCTTTAATAATTTTCATATTATTCAATGAGTATTTGTTTCTTAAATAATTCTGTTTGGAAAATAATTTCTCTCTATAATTAAAAATGTTTTAGATAACTGAAATGATTCAACCAAAATAGAGGAAAACACTTCTTTAAATGAGGAAATGAATGATATTATTGATTAGAATATGAAACAAGCATCAGAAAATGGTTGGTTTCAAATTTATATTGCTTATAGCTGGTGTCATGAATCGAAAGACAGCAACTCAAATGAGCTCAAGATTTTCCTTGCATCAGCTCAAATTTAAATAGAAAAGGGATTTTAAAATAAATTATAAGTTTTTGTTGTTAAACTAATATTCTAATTTCTATTTGAGCACTCTAGTAATATTGCATAGTTTATTTAGTCCCTTTTATAGTATAATGTTCCAATTTCTGATTTTAGATATATTTGTCACTATAACACAACAAAAACAGCACATCATAGTAAAATTTTTATTTGGGCAATACCATTATAATTAATTAACATACAACAAAGTGTTTCTATTTGGGGTCAGAACTGGCAATGTACTTTAACAGGTGAGGGAAATATTGAAAATGTTAAAGTCTGAAACCCACCCAGAGATATAACCAATCTTTGGAAAATCATCAGTATTCCACTATGCAGTAGTTTGGGGAATTCAAGAGAAAAACTGCTATTTATAAGAATATGCCTCCCCAGCAGTGCTCGTGACAAACCACCTACCCTTATATTTCTCATTAGGTTAAGTGATGAGAGCTTTCCTGTGTCTTTTCTATAAATATTTTCATGATAATTGTCCTGACAAACTTTTCTCTTTGGTATCTTGAATTTACAAATTTAAGCACAGTACTAGATTGGCAGCTAGGTCTCATCATTTAACAGTTGAAATGGCTTGATGTAACTGTAAGTGCTATGCTAAGATTTTTTTCTTTTGCCCTTCTTACTTGTGGAACTTCCAGCCATTTGCTTTCAAGTCAACTTTCTTCAAACATTTAAATGCAGTGTCAATCATTAGTCTCTATTATTTTAATTCTTGTTCTTTTATTGTTCTTAATGTTTTTCTTTTTCTCATATTCATTCATTCAGTAAGCCTTTGTATCTTAGTGGCTTTATTGCCTTGCTTGCAGTAAAATGGTTAAAAAAATCCTAAAAAGTTATTTTGCATATTATTATTTCAATCAGTTTAATTTTTAACAAGACACTGTAAGTGTTCAACTTTTGTACTTCCAGTGGTTATTCAGCAAGTTGTTGCATTCACTGATCTGAAGGTGTGGTGATGCTGAAAATACAAAAGTTATGCACTACTTGATCCTAGCACATAGTAAATATTTTCATAGACTAATATGTACACCCAAATTTCTAATGTTAAATAAACCAAACAGAATATGAAACCTTCAACTTGACTTTTTGGTGCAGTTGGTTTAAATATCATAATGGGAAAATTGAGTTTGATTAAAACAATGAAGATCATTGGAATGATGTGACACTGAGGCTGTGAGGTGGTTAAACATTAATTCTAAGCAGAAAAAAGATTAAGCCCAAAATGAAATATAAACTGGAAGATAGAGAGAATAGAAGATATTTTCTCTGGTAATGTTGAAGTGAAGAAAGGGCCATCTGAGTAGCCTCACACTTATGAATTGGAATGATACACCAAGAGCTTACTTTTTATTATCTATCAAAAATCTGCCATGCAGGTAAAGCAAATTGGGAAATGGCTTTAATTCTTTCTTGGGAAATTAGAAAAAACACAAGTCATTGGCAAAAGGAGAAGCAGATGAGAATTATATTTTCATTAACAAAAACAAATTGAGAAATGAAAACAGAGAATGAACCCGCTGCATGGGTTAGAATTATGAAAATCTATCTATCATAACAGACATGTGACCTGGCTTATATTTTTGCTAAGACAGCATCCAGCAAAACAGTGTATCTCTTTATTGAGAATTTAGGTAAACAAATATATCTTCATTGATGAAAACAATTGGGAAATAATATTTATCTATCACTCAGAAGGTTAAAATGAGAAGGTGATCTGGTTTGAGTTTTTTCACTAGACAAATAGGACTAGAAAAGGAGTCAGAGAATTGAAATTAATGAGGAGAACAAACCACACCCTTTCTCTTACACACTTTAAAAATTAGATTTGCCACAGAGACAGTTATGCCAGCCCTGAGAAGTGAGCAGTTAGAATACTGAGAAGATGGAGGAAGTGAGCAGAATTTAGTCCTGCCTGTGTGGAGAAGCAGAGCAAGATATGAAGTGAAGCAGGTTGGAGTTAAGGAAAGAGAAATTTGTTACTATTCCCAAGGAAGATGTATAATTCTCCAAATTTGGAAAGTTGATTAAGAAAGCAGAAATAGGGAACAAAGAAAACCTGTATTGGAGAATTAATGAAAATTGAGGAATCACTGAATCCCCTGAACCCTTCGGCCACATACCAGTTTGGGGCTGAAGTGTATATAAGTAGATGACTTTGGAGAGATCAGAGACTTTGGGCCTAAATTCTGCATTCAATACTTGTGAAATCCACATCAGCTGCCAACAGATTTACTGATTCTAAGATTTTGAACCCAGAATTTCGGACAAGGCCCAGTGTCACTTTAGAGATTGATGTGGGAAAGGTTAATTTTTGTTGTACCAAGTGCTATATAAACCAATTGAAGATTAACCACATGAATCTCTCATTTTATTTTTTTGTCCTGAAGATATTTTTTTTTCCTTAATATAGCACACGCCATGGCTTGAACAAGCACTGTGAGACTACGACTTTTGATTTTCCACTGCTCTGAGATCAAGAACACAGTGTGGGCAGAGTTGGTGTGGATTGAAGTAGCCAGTGACCAACAACCAGCTTGGACCAGCATCAGCATTGACCAGTGCAGAGTCAGTCCTGTAGTTAAAACATTGTTCTAAGAACCTGAGGACTGGACAACTAAAACGTGGTTACACCACCAGGTGTAGGTGACAGTGAAAAGTGTTATAATATCACAAGGAATGAATGAAATTGTCAAGCTTGGAATATCAAGCATTCTGTCAAAGTTATCCAGAAGAAGGATGCTGATATTGGAAGCATTTTCAATAGGAAAAAAAAAACTTGCTAGATCTTCAAAATTAGACAAATATCAAAGAAAACTAGTTAGGTTATCAGCATCTAATCCAAAATAAACAGCACATTAAGTAATGGATAAAAACAGCATTACTGGTGAAGTGTCTGTTCATACAATAAACATATTATGTCAAAATAATTGATGCATTGTAGCAAAAATGCCATTGCTAATAAAGAAATATTAAACAAGACAAAGGACTGGGCAAAAAAAAACACCTTCCTTGAGATAATGAAAAATAAACAACTGATATTTAGTGATGATTATATTTTAATGCAAAAGACTATGTTTGAAAACCATTTGCTCCAAGATACATGATCTAAGATATATATATAAGTCTGTAAAATTTGGTAATAAAAATTTAATAGTTTGGGACAACAGCAAAATCGATGGTACAAAAACGTTGATAAAATTGATGGAATATTGAACAGTGAAAATACATTATTTTGTTAAGGTCACATCTATAATTAGATATAGCAAAAGGTGAAATATTCAAACATGACTAAATACATTGCCATATATTGTATGCAACAAATAAGTTTCTCCCTGATAAAGACATTGCAGTTTTATAAAACTGGCCTGGCCAGTTTGTATTCCTTCATTCCATGTTGAGGTTTTAATTCATGCCAATGAAAACCAGTTGTCATCAGTAAAAGTACTGGTTATTACTTTTAATATCAACTACATATATAAATACATTTAATGTTACTTGCCCTCTAGTAGCTCATAACTTTTGTATGCACTATTTTCTGCATCACCATGCATTCAGATCTGCATTTTCCTTTTTGCTGTGTCACAGTGAATGCAACAACTTGCAGTACAGTCCTGAGTAGCTCCAGAAAGTACATTTTTTAACATTTATGAATTATTAATGGTTGTAAGCAAAAAGGAACAGCCCAACATGCAAATTACAAATTGGAACACCAAAGTTAAGCAAGAACAAAAATTTAAATATCTAGGAACTGTTTAAACAGAGAATAGAACATATGACAATGAAATTTGAAGGTGCATTGGAATAATGAAAGGTACCTTCAAAAGGTTAAGCAAATTAAGCAAAGTATTAAGAAACAGGAAAATTTTGATAGAAACAAAGGAAAGAGTACTGAACTGTTAGGTAGTATCAGTCCTCTTATAGTGAATGCAAGCCAACTCATCACAGATTTGAAACAACAGAAACATGATTCTACAGAAGGATGCTGAGAATACCATACACTGAATATGTGAACAATGATAAAGTTTTAGAGAAAATAGAAACAAAAAGGACATACTTAGAATCAGAAAGAGACAGTTGAAATTTCTAAGGCACATAATGATTGAAAGAGGGTTTAGTTAATTCAAAACTCACAGGGCAGGATATATTGAAGGCAAGAAGGACAGAAAAAAGCAGCACATTACCTGCTTAATGAGCGTGTGTAAATAGTTGGCAGAACAGGGATTAGGAAAGGTAGCAAAAAGACAAATTTTATTACAAGCTATAAAGGACAGGACAATTGAGAGGCATGATCACCAATGTCCAAAGGGACATAGTATATAGAAGTAGAAATCAAAATTAAATAAATTTATTGTTTAGCTAGGTGTCTCATTTCTTTTGATTGCAAGTGCAGACAGTACTTTTGTTTTATTATTGTCTTTGAATCATTGAAACTGTAACTCTGAAAAAGATAATGTTTTATAAAGAAAGCTAGTGGACTCCAGAAATAATTTAGAAACAGATGCTCTTCAAAAGCCTGAAAAACAATTGGGCAGATTATCATGTGAAAAAGAAGGTACTTACTAAATAGATTGGCATTTCTTCTGATTCTTGTGACAAATAATAAAACTCATCAAATATCTTTGAAAATGCTATCCATGGAATGTAGGAATTTTCTTTATCCATGTAGTCAATCAAACTGACAAATATTTCTGGTTTTATAAGTTTGGCTCTAGAAATGAAAAGCAAGTGTATATATTCTAGAGAAAACAGGACAACATTTGTTATGAGGATATGCATGATAAATTGAAACAGCAAAATGTAAACAATATGGCATTAAAATAATATTTTTGCACTTTCTGACTTTATCCTACCATTCTGTTAGATTCAGATTGATAATTGATCTGTATCTGATCTGAATTAATCTTGTCTGAACATGGAAACTAGTTCAAAAGACAACACCATTCCATTTTTCTATATAAAAAACTCCCATTATCAGGTTACGTCCTGAGAAACAGAAGAAATTTATCAGAGTTTCTTTTTATCCATATCTCATTCTCTGATGAAGCTTTAATAAAAGAGAAACATGTTAGATTGATAAATATTTCCTATTTGCTTTTTATTATATATATATATATATATATATATATATATAATAAAGCTTGCCCATAAAAATATATTACTGGAGGATAACACTTCTAAGGCAAGCAGTCTTTGTAAATAATGTGCTATAGAGCATTAATAGCACACAAATTGATTGAATATGCATCCCCTTTGTAGGGGAAACAGGGACTCAGGTTCGATCCCTGTGGAGGGCACATTTTCTTTACTAAGGTTTCTTGAATGTGTAGGTTGATAGGATGTAATACACATTGTTTAATAAATACAAATTGGTTGTCTATTTTAAATACAAAGTGTCCACTATAATAATGTGAAGTAATAAAAATATTGGGTTAAAAATAAATCCATTAATATATATATATATATATATATATATATATATATATATATGCAGAAAGGCATGTTTTATTGAAATCAACTAACAAGCTATATCTGGTTAATTTTTAGTTACATTTTCCCAGTTTATGTATACACGATTTTGTAGAGCACATTCTCATGCAGATACTTCCCTAAACACTACATTGTTAAACACTTCAAGTTAATCATTATCTATCCTCCTTATCCTCATCATATGCAATTCCTACCACTCCCTCTTACACACATCATTCAGTAACCATCTATCTTTTGTGGTTCTAGAGCCTTGTAATGGGTGAACTTTAGTATATATAAAAAGAAGTTGCATAAGTCCATTTGGGTCAAATTTATAAAGAAACAGTTCAAATTCACAATGTGTTTGTCAGAGTATCGCTTGGTATTATCAGCAATAACAAAGTTATAAACTTCAATAGATGAAAGTTTTTATTAGTATCATCTTGACATTTTTTTTAGAAATGTGATAACATATATTGACTACAAAGGTCTCATGTATAGAACAATTTTAAAATGCCTTCCCCTGTGGTGATAGGCATTGCATTAAATGCAAGTTATTATTTTTTTTTGTTTTGAAGTATTTTGATTTTTTGTTTACAGTGAGTGCTGTCTTGTGTTTTAGTGTGCCATGCTCAATCTTTACAAGAACCAAATTATAGTAAAAATGAAGAAGCCCAATCTTCATTTTCCAGCTTTAACAGAGGCCAAAAGAATTTGTGTAGCATTGTGGCTGATGAATTATTTTCCATCCTACAGCCCAACCCCACAGAGGAAATGGTGCTAGTCTATCACTATTTTCATGGCAGATGTTCAGGCAAACTACATTTTGTGGTTCCACTAGTCCAAGAGGAAGTTCCTCCCAATCATTCTTCTCCAGAATGACTGCATTATAAGACAGACTCATAAGAGAATGCTTCCCCAATTACTACAATCATAACTTCTTCAAGTTGAGAGACAATTTTTATCTATCCTACATATCTTCATAATATGCACCTCTTGCTCCCCACCAGTGTGTATTCTTACAAGTTCATTTAGAAACCCTCTACCTTGAGTGGCTCTTGGACTTTGTATTCAGTGAACAATCATAAAAATGTATGACATATAAACAATTGTCAATAAGTACTTGTTTTATGTTATTCATTTCTTTATAATGTGTGTCAAGAAAAAAATTAATTTCAATCTGTGGATCGTATTTTTTAAACCAACAATTATATTACTTTTATGTGAACAGTCAATTTGGTAATTAAGAAGGCAAGAATCTTTTTTCTTAAATCAAGTAATAAAATTATGACTATTAAAATCTAGTAAAACAAAAACAAAAATGAATTTGATTATTTTATTGTTCATAAATAAAGTTTAATTTTCCTCAAAATGTTTCTTTATGGTTTTTTGCTGCCTCGGTTAATGTCATGAACATACCTAATGTATATTATAAGTTGGAAAAAACTCTCAAAGATGTCATTTTCTTGACAGTCAATATCAATAAAATGTTTGAATGATACTGCCTAAGTATCAGGTATAGATTAAGAACTGGCCTACATTGAGAAGTGTGAATAAACAAAAATTGTGCCTACTGACAGAAATCAATCCTGGAGGCATTATTTTTCTCTAGCAGTACCTCATAATCTAGGCTGTTATACTGTTTAATTATTAATTACACTGTTTAAGGAAAAAAAAAAAAACAAGCTTACATAAATTATTTTTAATTGTAGTTATGATAGAGTTAGTGGGTATAACAATATATTTTCATTTGTTGGGATTGTCAGAATGATCCAATTACATTTTGAAATATTTTACAAAACTTTTTGTATTGAATATAAAATAATTAGATTATTGGAGGAGCTTAAAATGATTTTCAATGTATTTCATCTCTTCATGTAAATATTGAGATTATTATTCCAGATTTTATTTTGTTGTTATGGTGAGAATAGAAATTTATGAGATAATTTTTATTAGTTGATTTGTGATGGATACTTAGTTCTAGGCTATTGTCATTACAGTGTAACATGATATCTAGGAAAAGTAAAGTTGTATTTGTTTTCATTTCATAAGTGAATTCTCTCATATGTTCAACTTTGTTTAGTTTATCTACAAGTGCAGTAGTTTTGTGGATATATATTAAGAGAGTAGAAAATATTGGAAATATGATTATTTAGATAAAATATTTCAAAATATTCTGAGAAAATTATAATAATAAAAATGTCGATGTCACACTTTTGCAATTAAAGGGAGACAACTATCTAACTTTCAAAGGCTCATGTTACAGAAATTTATGATTCCCAAGTTTTCATTAATGCCATTGATTTTGGCAATTTTTTATGTGAGTTTTTGCAACAAATATTTTTGTACAATAACAATTTTTATAACTTTGGGGTATAGCCATACTCATCACACTTGGTGAGGCTATTTAATGATTTAAGAATATTTTCTGACTTTAAATGGACTGCAAGAAGTTGATAAGCTGTAAGAAACAAATCAATCACTCAATCTCCAAATCCAGAGCCTTCTCACTCCTGTTGGAGGAACTCCTTCCGGGTTGATCATAGCCTTAAAGGTATAACTGTACTCATCACACTTGGTGAGGCTATTTAACCCATAGCTGGGGTGGATGTCTTCTGACACTGAGAAGTTCATCCACTGTTTAACAGCTTTTGTTTTTCATTTGTCTGCTGCGATTACATTTACCCTCCTCACCAGATTATGGTCTGGTGGGGTAGTCAGTTTAGATGCTGACCACAGAGATGTTCTACTCATAGACTGCCATCCAAGACTATAGGACCCAGTCTGTCTTGCTATTTACCCATGGCTAAGAAGTGATGGATTTCTACTATTCCCCAAGGTATTTACATGTAAGTAAATATAATGAACTCGAATAGAATTTGAACTTGTCTCTCCAATTCCTTGATCTGAGCCACTATCCATTACTACTCAATTAATCTAAACATTATAATTTAGTGAATTCACCTGTGTGAGCAGATACCATTCTTTTGGGGTTTTTTTCTAAATATTATAAATTACATATACCTGTCTGCACATTCAGAGAGTACATTATTATGCCTTTCAAATGCACAGGCTGGTAATTTACATTGCTAAAAAAAAAAAAAAAAAAAAAGAAACAGGGTATCTACTCAAACATGTTATCCATCAAAATATAACAATTAGAGTAATAGTAAATAATGTAGGATTAGTAGGATTAAAAATAAAATCTATTAATTTCTTAGAAATTATATATATGAAAGAGAGAGAGAGAGTTAAGGTATCATTTATTTTCATACCTTGTTAATGCCCAAGCATCAGATATAAGGGTAGCCCGGTCAACAGCTGATATAACCTGTACAAGTAATGTAACAACAAAGACTGAATTCAACCAAAATAAACAATTTGAAAATGCATTGAAGAACGTATAAAAATAACGACATTTATAATTATAATCATTAACATTCATTTACCAAATCTCATGACTTTGGGCTTAGGAACATGTGTTGAACCTTCTTGTTGTGCTAAAAGTGAAAAAATAAACACTGCAAATGATAGTTATAATATCTGTTCACCAGTTTTAGTTATTCAAATGACTAAGCACTAAAGGAAAGCATGGTCTTAAAAGTTACAACTTTGCAAATAAGAATACATGGAAAAGTTTTTTTTTTATCAAGTCTAGAATAATAGCAATTCCCCAGAGACTAACTAGCATTGTTGGGCAGTAGGTATTAGTCACAGTAGTGTTCAGAGGACAAAATAGAGACAAGGCATGAATTTCACAACTGAGAACATTATGTAATTAGAAAGACTAATAAGAACACAAGACTAAATCTCTCATACATAAAATTATTATTTATTCACCGCTGGACTTTGTCAATTAATATTGGCATTAGAATGTGTGGCCTCAGTGCTTTCTTCAAATGTGGATTTTTTTTACCTCTTGAGTAGAGCACTTTTATATCTTTCTGTTATCTGGTTGTTTCCATGTGGGTACATCCTAACCAGCTGTTTACATGTTGGAAGCATATGATTTGGCATGATTGGTGAATGAACAAGACCAATATGTTCAAACTCTTAGTCATGATGACTTCATGCTAACACAACCATTGATAGCTTCCAAAGAGTTTCATCTACCCCATTTCACTCATATGGCTTGAGTTAACCTATGGTATAATTTTTCAAGCACTTCCAAATGATGCTGAACACTGGAATCATCTCCACAAGCCAATATTATCAAGCAGCTACCTCCTTGACAAAATGACCATGGTGAAGATTTGAACCAAGGTCTCATGGTCAGAATGCTATCATTCTAAACATTCAGCCACATGCCCATGTAATTACATCTAAGTCTTAACAATCTTTGACAGAACTCAATGTAAAAATTATGGATTGAAAACTTTGTTTAGACAATCTTCTACCCATCATCCATCTAGATACATATAACTCCCCACTCCTTCTCTCCTTTTCCTTTACTTCATTTTCTTTTTCATGTCCTCTGTCTCCTTGCACTACCTGCTTATTCTTTTATCATTTGTCAGGCCTTTTCTTACTGGCCTTTCTCTCTTATTTATTGAGAATGATGTCAGTAAAACCACCAGACTCTTCTACCTGTAGAAGACAAATAGAAAAATAAGGGACAATGATATTCTGAAAACTACCGATTCCTTGTATGTTATTCTAGATCTTAATATTGTTTTATTATTGTGACAAAATTTTTGATTATTGTTGTATAGTTGTGTTGAGCATATTTTCAAAAAGTTTCCTAGTGTAAATAAGTCATGCTTGCATGCTTAATATATAATGATTTTATAAAAAAACAAAACAAAAAATTGTGAAAAAACTTACTTTATGATCTGTATTGAGTTGCTTAATGAGGTTCTGCCAATTCTGAGTGTCATAATTGACTCTGTAAAATCCAGAACTGTTTATATTGACTATGAACCACTCAGACTGGACACTTGGAATCTTGGTTTCTAAAATAGGAAAAAAAGTAATTTAAAAAAAGGCTTAAATTGTTCTAAATAGAGACGTTATTACTACAAATCTTGATTTTATTTGTATTCATTTATGTAGAAATTCCATCAGTTCTAACCATCACAGCTAAAACCCACCATACCATGCACATTGCAGCAAACCACCTTCATTCCCTTCATATTCCATTGGTGAGATGTAAATTCTATTCAAGCATCTTCTTCTCATGAACTGCTGCTTTATGGAACCAACACCAAAGTAGATGCTTCCCTAATCACAACAATCAACCTGTTCAAGTCTAAAGTCAACTGGTATTTTCCCCACATAAACTATACTGCTTACTCTGTAACCCTCTACTTCGAGTGGCTCTTGGGCCTTGTACAGGGTGAAAATTATTGTTTTAAGCATTCCTTCAAAACATTATAATTAAAAGTTTGTTATAACTTACGCTATTTATATTTGGACTATTGTCCTCATTTTTGTTGTTGTTGTTATCATGATTCAGCCATTGTGTCTTCTAGTCTTCTTCAGATCTATATTGATTTGGGTAACCTACAAGGAATTCTGACCTGAACCCTTTATTTAATCTCTGGAGGTAGACTGTTTTGGTTTCATTGTTCATCCCTAGGGATATTGTCTATTGTTTTTATTTTATTTAGTACTGATCAGTTATTAGTCACCAGTTTCCATTGAGTGCAAGTACACACTGCCTGATCAAGGGATTGAACTTACAACCACAAACCAAAAAATGCTTTTACCTATTAAGTCATTGTCCTGTAGGACAATTTGCTGTAGTAAACTTAGAGCCTTAAACTTAACGTAACTGCTAATAAGGTTGCAATTGCTGCTGCTTCTGGCTGTCATGTTTTGATTGCTGCCTTCAAACAAAATGTATATTATAATCTTAATAACAGGTACTATCACTGATTTTTATTGGATGATAATGCAAAGTAACTTTGCTGGGCACAGTGGATCTATCTCCTATGCATCACCTCTCCAATTCCCTTAAAAATGAACAGTTAAAGCATTCTTTGATATCTGTAGTTAAAACCAGTATACCATAGGTATATTTTAGTAATAGTTACAAGAAATGGATGTGTGGATAGTATAATGGTTATTGATATTATTTACACTCAGATTATTGTCTTCATCTCATGTTGTTATTATCACAACATCCTGGCTGTTGGGCACTCCGGCCTTCCTCAGGTGTTTGTCAATTCAAGTAACCCTCAGGAAATTGTGAACTGAAACCTTCATTTAATTTATGGAGGTAGACTGTTCTCATTCTGCTAACCATGTTTAGGAATATCTCACCTAATTCTAATTTAATACAGCTCACTCATTGCTCATCCTGTTTTCACTGAGTTTAAGTCTGCACTGCCCTGTCCAGGAATTGAACTTACAACTACTATGTCATGAAATTCATAAGCCAATGCTTTAATCCAGTTTAATAGTTATCAGTGTCAAAAGTGGAGTTGGTAAGCCAAGTTAAAATTCTGACTGAGTCTGTTTCATTCACTGAACAGTACATGCAGGTCGCCAAAGACCCTAATGTGTTATGGACTCATTTACTGCCTCGTTATTCTCAATGACCACTTATATGAGTGTTCACTTGTGCTTATGCAGATAATGCATACTAATTTGCTAGTATCACTACATCTCCCTGAAACGTAAGGGTTTTATTCCTCTTGTAGATCTTGTACTCTTTCTCATGTTATTTTCATCACTTTGCTCTACTTCTCTCTCTCCTGTATTTCTTTCCCTGGGAGACCTAGATCTGTCCCGTGCTAGGCTGTAGTCATATGTGTTTTCTTGCATTATCTGGTCTTCGTCTGAACTTTCAGACTCATTCTGGCCCTCTTGATCCTGCATTATTTTGTCTTCTGAAGTTTCCTTCTGTAATGGCTGTTCTACCAACTCATTATCAGATGGAATTGAAGACATTTCTTCGTCCTTTTGCTTTTCCTCTTCACCCTGGGTCCTTATTTGGTTTGCATGGGCTAATACACTATTGCCGTTTTCTCTATTTATTATAGCTGTATTGTGGCCTTTTTGCATGATAAATTCTGCCCTTTCCAGATCTGCATCTTTGTTCTTTTTGTACCACATTTTTTCATTTGTAGGATACAACATCATTAGCAGAGCTCTAATCTGTCTTCCCATTAAAGCTGATGGGCTTTCTAGTCTTCCCACATGTGGTATCGTACAATAACTTAAAAGCAGCCTCGGTAGAAAAACTTCTTTTTCTTTTTGCTGAGAGCATGCTTTTAGTCCCTTTTTTACAGTCTGCACCATTCTTTCTGCTAATCCGTTCGATTGAGGGTGATATGGAGGTGTCTTATATGGTTTACACCCTATTTTTTCTAACCATACATTAAGTTCTTCATCACAAAATTCTGGTGCATTATCAGATACCAAGGTTTTTGGTACGCCATTTCTGGAAAATATGACTCTTAGAATCTGCTTTATACTCTATTAATGTATGCATGATCCATATGCACATGACTCCATGGCTCCACTTCTTTGGGCCACAAATGTAATTTGGTTTGTGTAAAGTTTCTTAATTCATTACATTTTTTGCACCTTTTTACATATTCCTCGACATCTCTTGAATATCCCAGCCACCAAGCTTCTAATTTTATCCTTTTTTGTGTGGCCGCTACTCCACAGTGTATATCATCAAGTACACTTTCTATTATCAGTTTTCTTTGTGTTTCTGAGGGAACTATCAGGTCCCCAATACAAATCACTCCATGTTCTATTGTTAATTTCTGTCTTATTTCTTTATAGCGTCTTTCCACCCTAGAACAATTTCCTCATGAGTTTTTTCTTATTCTCGATACTATCCTACTTAGCACTGGATCATGTCTCGTTTCTGCAGCCATTCTATCTAAAGACAAAACATCAGTCTCTATCAAATGTAGGAATGAATCTTCAAATTCTTTCTCTGTTTTATCTTTTGACTCCTTGTAGAACCTCAATCTTGATAGTGCGTCATGTGGAATTGAATTTCCTTTGACATACTCTATATCAAAGTCAAATGTCATCAGTCTTATCGCCCATCGTAGAATCCTTGATGCCGTGACTTTGGGTAATTCTTTCCTTGGGTTAAATATAAATTCTAATGGTCTATGATCACTTCTTAACAGAAATTTTTTTCCAATTAAAAATTGTCAGGCTCTAGTAGTTGTCCAAACGATAGCCAATGCTTCTTTCTCTATGTTCGAGTAATTAAATTCAGTGTTTGTTAACCTTCTCGATAAATACATTATTGGATACGCTTCTTGTGATAATATTCCCGATATTGAATGTTCACTTGCATCTGTAGTGAGTGTTATGTCCTTTTTTGGATCAAAAATTTTCACTACAGGTTTCTTTGACATAATTTCTTTTAATCTTTCAAAAGCTTTTTGCTGTTCATCTGACCACATAAATTCCACATTCTTTTTTCTTAAATTTGCAAACAGTTCCGTCAAGTTCGTGTATTTTGGTAAGTATTGCCTGTAAAAATTTACCAATCCCAAAAAAGACTTCATTTCTTTCTTATTTGTAGGTGTAGCTACTTTTAGTATTTTTTCTATCAAGGCTTGGTCTGGTGATATACCTTCTTTTGAAATGGAATAACCTAAAAGAGATATTTTGCTAGAATTGCTTACGCATTTTTTTTTCATTTATCGTCATTCCAGCATTTCTTAATCTATTCAAGACTAAGTCAGTTTTCTCTTTTAATTTCTTTTCATTAGTAGCTCCTATGCATATGTCGTCTTGGTAACAAATCATATTTTCTACATTTCCTAAAAACTGTTCAATGGACCTTTGAAATATGGCGCTTGCAGTTTTTATTCCATATGGCATTCTTTTCCATCTTAGTAACCCTATTGGTCCATTTATCGTGGTTACTTCTTTGAAGTTCTCATCTATTAGTATTTGGTGGTATGCCGACGGTCATTCCTGCCAGTGCATGTAATGCAAGTTCAACATTGGGTATGGGATATGAATCCGAGCATATTTTGTGATTTACTCCTATTTTGTAATCTCCACAAATACATAAATCATCATGTTTTCCTTGAAACTACAATCAGTGATGCCCACTTGCTACCTTCAGGTGGAACATGTTCAAGGAGGTCTTGTTCTACTAATTTACGTAGTTTTGTCACTACTAATAGCAATAAATGTACTGGTAATTTTCATGCCTCATAATAAGAGGAGGAAACATTTTCTTTTACTTTTAAACTTGCTTCATAGTTTTTTAACTTTCCAGTTTTTTCCATTTTTATTTCATTAATTAACTTGGTAGAATTTTGTCTTTTAACTCTAAGGAACCTTCAAAGTATCCTAATGTTTTTATAACCGACCCATCAAATTGGCGGAGTTGTAAACTGCTCTTTCGTAAAGGTGGCTTACCAATGCATTCCCAAAAATTTTTGGTATCAGTGTTACTTCACTCCCAGTATCCATTTGCATATCTAAATTGCAGTTATTAATTTTGACCTTTACTATAATGTCTTTTTTCTTATGTTCAATTTTTCTTATACTCTTATTTTTTAATGTAAAAACTTCCCTATTGGTGTCATTTTCTTCAATTCTTTCAATGTTTTTCTTTTTTAATTTACACATTGCTTGAAAGTGGTTCTTTTTTAAGCAATTATTACAAGTTTTTCCAAATGCTGGACACTTTTCCTTTTTTATTTTGTGTTCACGTCCACAATACGAACACTTTTTTTTATCTTCTTTAACATGTACGTATCAGCGAATATTCGTTCGCTGGGTTGACTTTTATGATGGTTGTATTTCTGTATTAGTTCTTGTTGCTGAATAAAATCAATACATGTATTTTAAGACATATTTCCTATTTGTAATTGTTCCATTATTTTATATCGGTGTGATGCATTGCACATACCTTCAATTAATCTTAATTGAATCAAGTCCTCTTCAATAGTCTGTTCGTCTTGTCCAAGTTTTTCAAATTCACAATATCTACTTGCATTTTGTAGATGGTGTAAATATTTTATAATTGGTTTGTCAATTTCTTGTTTCATTGACATGAATTTCGTTCTTTCTGCCACTACCAGCCTTTTCTCGGGTCTCATATTTCTTCTTATAATCTGGCTTATTTTTTCGAAAGTCAGGTCTTCCAAATTTGAGGGATATGCCATGGTTGAGACTTTCATTATAGCCAAAAATAAATCCGTGATTTCATTTTCGCCTCCCTTTTCCTTGTTGTCTTTCAACTTTTTTGTTCTTGCAGTGGCAGAGAAACAACGAATCCATGTATCCACGAAATCTGGATCTTCTAGAGACAATTGATATCCTATCAGCGACGCCATTGTTGTGATGTAGAGGTTAGCACTAATCAGTCACTAAGCTTGTTTACTGCCTCGTTATTCTCAGTGACCACTTATATGAGTGTTCACTTGTGCTTATGCAAATTATGCATACTAATTTGCTAGTATCACTACAGTATGGATAGCAATTTTAGTGTTCAAATATTCCTAAATTACCCAGAGTTGTGAATCCTTGAAAATGAAAGTATTCTATTGTTACATCATTAAGATCAGATTAGTTTTCTTACCTCCATAAAATTTATATATATATATATATATTTACTTACCTGGGCCAGGCAGTGTGTAGTTGAGACCAGTTGAAATGAGGGAGCAATAACTGAGAAGTGCTAAAAATAAGAACTAAATGAGATATCCCTAAAAATATCCAGTGGAACGAGAAGTCTACTACCCTAGATTAAATAAAAGGTTCAGTTCAGAGTTCCCTGTAGGTTACCCAGATCAATGTACATATAATGAAGGCTGGAGTGTACAATAGCCAAAATGTCATGATAACAACAAAGCTGAGAACAGTAGGCCACGTGTAAATTATGGTAACTCTTCATCCCAGAAATTCAGACAGAAATTTTACTTACCTTGTTCATCTAAGTAGTGAAGTGGAGATGACTTTGGATGAGATTTTGAATATTCCATAAACGTATAAGGAATTGGCCAACTTTTACTACAAAGAAAGAACAAGTCCTAATCAATTTTGTAATTTAACTATTTTGCTTGATACAGAGATATTTAGATTATAAATATGCATTCACAGGTGCATTTTGAGTACAATGAAGTTAACAAATTTCCCAATAATTTGGTTCTTTTCTCTTCTCTTCACTAACAAAAATCAAAATCAGGTTATATAATACTTTTATATCAGACATGTCCTTAAAGAGGTTGGTTCAAGATGGTCACATTGCAATCCACTTGTTATCTATTTAATCCGTTTGTATCACTTGATATCTATTGTTATGCTTATTGTCAGCTGCAAGAAGTGAAATGTGTTAAAGTGCATCTGCCAATCTCCAGACTCACTTTGATGTACAGTAAACTCATCGAATTGATACAATATTTAAAAATATTTCCAATTTAGAAAAAAGACCTATAATTATGTAATTGTGATCAATACAAAACCAACATCATCATTTATTCACTTACAAATTTTTACCTCACTGAACAATGAGTCATCCTAGAAATCTTTTATAGTTTTCCAGGCAATTTAAGTATTTTTTTGTTAAGACAATTCTTGAAAGAACAGAATAAATTATAATTCGAATATGGTGGATGAATGGAAAATACCCAGGCAATCTTTAACAATTTTTGCCTGGTTATACAAGAAATATACAGTTTAGTATTATCCTGAAAGAAGATTAAACTCTTTCTCTTAAATAATTTTGGATGTCTAATGCAGAGAAATACTTGCTTGAATTTCATTAGAACAAATGAAAGTGTGCTGAAATGTTGTGTCATATCAATCCTCCTATATGGCAGAGAATGTTGAACAATTTCCTTACAGATGGAAAAGAGACTTAAGCAACAGACGGGGTACTACAGAAGGATGTTGAGAATATCATAGACAAAATATGTAAGCAATAAGGAATTTTTAAGGAAAATAGGAACCAAAAGGACACTTAAATTTAGAATCAGAAAGAGACAGTTAAATTTTATGGGATATATATAAGAGGAGAGTAGGCTATGAGAATTTGGCATGAGAGAAGTAGAAGGAAATAGTGTGTAACCTACCTCACAAACTTGTGTAAATGGATGGAAGAACACAGAATGGGAGAGATAGTAAAGGGACAGACATTACTTAGAGTTACAAAGGGCAGGAAGTTGTAGAGAGTCTGAAGGGAAAAGTGTGATCCTAGAAAACTTATTTGTCCAGAAAAAGATAATACATGAGTACAATCAGTTTCCTAATATACATGACATCACCTTGTTTGGATGAAAACTGGCCTTTGCTTTGATTAATAGGGGTTCATTTTCTTGTTCCCTGATCTTGTACTTAATTTTTTTCATAAATATCTGCTACCCATCAGAATTTCGGTAAGATAATACATGAAAATATGGACTAGTAGTTTTTTTATGGAAGCTACACATCAAAGCGACTAGCATAAATAAGAAAATGATTTTCAATGTTGTGTTTGAATATTTTTAGTATGTTTGTTATTGTCTATGTTGTACATCACTGATTATTGTCACTGTTGGTTCACTGTGTCATACTAGACAATTTTTCCTTGTCAGAATCTATCTTGCAATGTTTTTAAGGCTACCATTCATCTAGTCTAGTGCTTCTCCTATGTATATAGAAGTTCCTGACAAAACCCAAAAAATAATCTGCAATGTCATTAGTCCTGACCTGACATCTCAGCTTCATTTACTTTGCCACTGCTATAATGTAGCTGCTCTGTGTGTTTTTCTATAAATCTTTTCATGGCAATTGTTCTGATGAGCTTTTCTCTTTGGTACATCATCTTCACAAATTTAAGTGCAGTACTAGATTGGCAGCTAGGTCTTACCATTTTACTGGTAAATTTGCCAAAGGCAACTGTAAGTTCTATTCTAATAGTTTCTTCTCTAGCATTTTTCATCTGTGGAACTTTCCTTTAACTTCTTGCTTTCCTGTCAACTATGATCTTCAAAAATTCAAAACAAAGTAACATCTATGCTTGATCACTATCAAGCTCAATTTGTCTACCTGACTGCAAAGAATTGTTCAGTAAAAAAAACCTTAAGCCTGGAACTTCCAAAACCACTTTTCACAGATTCAATCATTCATGCTACCTTCTGTATAATGTGCACAAATCTATTTTGTGTTTGAGTTGCTTTTTTATTTTTCTTAAAAATAAGCATAAACCAAAAATATAGCTTATTTTCTTCCAAAAATATGCTATTTCTGACAGTTGTTGCAATATAAACAAAAGCAGTCATTTAGAATCAAGTTAGTTAAAACTAAATGCTCCTTTGTATTTGGTTTATTTTGTTTTATGACATTCAACCTCAATGCAAACTTCTTGGACAACACAAACACACACAGATATATATATATATATAATCTCCAGGTATGGGGTAATAACAAATGGAGTATAATTCCACTGTCTGTAGTATTTAATTTTAAAAAAAGGACTCAATACAGAGTAGACCTTAATATTATTTATTACATGAGATTAAAACAAAAAACATGTTAAAAATCACTACACAATAGCTTTCATGTTTCATCACTAAAAACAACTTTAGTGCTGAAACATGAAAGCTATTGTGTAGCAATTTTTTAACGTTTTTGTTTTAAATTTTAAATATATTATATATATATATATATATATATATATATATATATATATATATATAGGTAAATTTACCAATTATATAAAACAACTAATTCTGAAATCTGAAAAAGTTAATAAAAAAATTGGATAACAGAACTTGTCTATTTTATTCAACCAAATTGTTTAAATGATATCACCTTAAGTGACTTGAAATTGGTTCCAGTAAAATGGATGTAACAACATTAGGATGTACTTGGAGAAATATAAAATAATATATATAATCTACCACTCATATTAGAGTGTATTAATGACAAAGAAATTAAAAAAAGAAATATCACTTACTCTTTTTTTTCAGTCATTTTTAAAACTGAGAAAATAAGGAATGGTTCTTGTTTAATGACTAAATTCATACTGGAATTATTTTTGGTAGCTGTCAGCAAAGGATAGTATTTCTGCAGCACCCAGGGCTTCATGAATTCCCGAACACTTATATTTGTAGACTATAAACATTCAATCAGAAAATAAACAAAAGAACAGATAAACAAACAGTTAAATTACCAGTTTGTTTACAAAAGTACTATCTACAGTAAACTTAAAAATCTACAAATGTTATTACTAAAATCACTTTTTATTTAATGGCATATTTTGTAAAAAGATAAATTTCTTGGATGACTCAAATATAGATACTGATAATTAATAAATATTACAACTCTTAAGTTGTTTTTACATTTATTCCATAACTTAAGTAGCATGGTGATAAAGTACAGGGCATGGCAGAAATACCTCCCACATAATAGTAAGACATTAGCTAGTTGAAGAAACCATTGCCACTAATGTCTCACTATTATGTGGGAGGTATTTCTGTCACAACCTGTACAGGGCATCCCTAAAGTCTGAACATGTAGGAAATGTCATTAACTATATTTTTTTACCTCAACAGATTAAAAATGATTTGGAAAAAAAAAAAAAAAAAAAAAAAAAGACTTGAACTTGATTTTTTTTTCTAGGGTATGCTAAAGAAGACGGTGTACTCAATGAAAATCACAGATGCAAGACACTTGATTGAATGCAGAAAGAGTGAATGTGCTAAAATTGATGGCAATGTGAAAACATTACATTGAGTTCACATGAATCTTGCAAAACATATCAACCTTTGCATCACAAATGGTGGAAATCATATTGAAGATGTTATTTGTTAATATTCCAATTCAATAACATGTTGAAAATTTAATTTCTTGAAAATATGCATTTTTACCTGTGTCCAGACTTTAGGTACACCCTGTATAAAACTAGCTAGAAATTATTATTAATAATAATAATATAATGATAATAATGGCAATGCTTCATCTAAGTACAAAAAGAGAATTCAACTCGAAAGATCATTTTTTGTTCCACACAGTAGATACTACACAATATACACTGTTCCAAAACACAAATAATTACAAACAATGATAAGTCAAAAAAGATATCTCATGGATAATTATTTGATACAAGTAAACAAATTACAAATTTTAGGAAATTTATAAGACTTTATAGGGCATTCTTTAAACATTACTATTTTGACAGCATGTTGGACACATGGCTAAGATAGATGTTCCATTATTTCAGCAGAAAATATTTAGGAAATAGTGAAAGATTATATGAGGAGATGTTAAGTATTAGCATAAGAAAGGGTTTCAATCTTTGCATGTATAATGGTGAATCAATAAGCCTATATATGTTATAGCTGAACATAATTTTGATCTAAAATTTACGTTGTATAAACTTCAATCTGAGGAATGCAGGTGGCTTAACCATTAATGATATTAAGGGTAGAATCAACAAACAAAATTTAAATTTCAGATGAGAAAATTTGCATTCTCTTCAGACTAATACCTTTGGGAAAAGCATGTCCTCTTCCCACCCACCCCCAGTTCTGAGTAAATAGTAGACCTTTAAGAAGATTATCTTGGGTGTTGGACAAGAACCCATTATAAAAAATTTAATTGCAGCTGAAACAATGCAGGAGTAAATGACATTCAACCTATATAATTCAAGGAAACAGATTATGTTGAAAACTGAGAAATCTATGCAGTCAAGAAAGTGATTTTTTGTGAGAAGGGGAGTTTTTTAACAAGTTCAGCTACTATTGGGGGAAAATGCCTCTTACATGTTGTCAAAATTAACAAAATACAAAAATATCGAAATACGTGATGAAAAGTATAATATGAAATTAAAGAAAAAATGTTTCATATAATTAATTCTGTGGTAAATTTACTAAAATTTCAGATCAAAATTCTGGTAAGTTACTAATGCAATACACTTACATTTGAAAAAATGTTTGGATCCCTTTTTCCAAACATACAATTAGCAACATTGTATGAATAAGTTAATAAACAAATACAATGTGTAAATGTTTTACCTGTTAAAAGCTTGAAAAATTACATTTAAAAGACAAATAAAAAAATAATTATATACAATCAAATGAAGGAAAGGTATTCTCTTCTATAAAGAATGGTAGCACCAACAAAGAATGTTTGAATGAAAATTGAAGTTTGAATTCTTTGGAAAAATTTTTTGACATTATCTGAAAGAATCAAAGAAAAGAAATGGCAAAAAACTACTTACAGCTGACATACAATTCCAAAACTCATCTTCCTGGAAACTACTTTGCTTATACTTCATCAAAAATAACTGAAATATTCAGAATATTAAAAGAATATCATTTTCTAAATATTATGAAAATAGCTTCTTTTTAAGCTATTTAAATATTTTAACATTTATAAATTTAATATTCTCTTTTTTATTTCTGATCACACACACATATTATATACACTTATATATTATATATATATATATATATATATATATATATATGAGTGCCAGAGTGGTTTCAGAAATTTTGAAATCAGTTGTATTGACCAGCTAAGAGACAAAAGACAATGGCAAAAAGTGTCAACAAATATTCCTGTGGCTAAGTCCCAAGATCCTTGCTATTGCAAAATTTGTGGACTTGTATGCAGGTCAATAGTAGGCCTGAAGTGTCACATATGTTTTTATTATAATCTCTTATAATAAAAATATAATAATAATATATTGCTCTACTCTGCATTGAGCACGTTTTTAAAAGTAAATGCTACGAACAGTGGATTTTTACTACATCTGTTCTTTTTCTCATTTATTTATATATATATATATATATATATATATATATATATATATATATATATATATATATATATATATATATATATATATATATATATATATAAATATAAAAGTGAACACTGAAGCCAACACTTAGAGGCAACAGTCTGTTTTCATATGAGACGCAACTGTCAGGCCATATAAATATAGCACACCTTAAGACTATATTTCTTCATACATATATATATTTTTAAGACATTTTTATGTTTATACATTCTTTTTATAGATACAAATATTTAAGTAAATGCTCTGTTTATAATAAAATAAATATTTGTGTCTATAAAAAGAATGTATAAACATAAAAATGTCTTAAAATAATTGTCAGACTTTGTCCATTTCATAATGTGTGATGTCATATATATATATATATATATAGTAGGCATCTGTCAGTTTTTGAAAACTATACAGACTATGGATAGCTAATCCTGTTGCAGATGCATTTGTATATTTTTTCGACATTCTCAGGACAAACTGTTGTTTATCCTGCAACAATGCTGAACAAACCTACAGTTACAGTTTCATTCTAGGAGAGAGTTCACAATCTTGTGTGATCAGAAGTTGAATAAGGCTAGTACACTTAAACCCTTGATCATGTTGATGTGTGATTTCATGTGAGACTGCTTCCAAAAGATTTTGTCAACTTACAACTACAAAAACTTTGAAGTAATGTATTTTACTGAAGAAGAAACTTCAGTCTAGTAATGGTTTTATTAATGGAATCAGTCAAATATATGTATGGGGAAATATTTACAGGAAATTTACATCCAGGATCATATAACCTAACTCCTTTCTTTACAAAAGATACAATGTGAGATATTTAAAAACAGCAATAATAAACAATTTTTAAAAAATGCGATAGAAATCTGAATGAGGTTGATTGAAAACTCAGTCAGCATCTAAAGATTGCATTGTGCATGAAACTCAGAGTTGTGCTAACCTTTTCAGGGAAATTAACTACAAGACCCTCATGCACATCTCTCTTGAAGTTTTCATGCTTAACACAATTCTGCTGAAAGCTTCTCTTAGCATTGAGCACTGCTTTTTTCAAGATGAATGATCTAGAGATAGGTTTGCTCATTCATATGTACAGACATTGTGTGTGTGTGTGTGTATAAACACCACACACACATACATACATGTGTTTTGTTGAACAAGACTGTCAAAGAACTTTTGTTCAGTTTTCATGTAGTCATACATAAATATATGTGTGTGTGTGTATATATATATATATATATATATGCATATATATAAAATTCTATGTGGATATATATGTAAGTATATATATATAAAATTCTATGTGCGCATATATATATATATGTGTGCGTGTGTGTGTGTATGTATGTATGTATGTGTGTCTTGTTGAAAAAGAATGAAAGATACTTTAGTTCAGTTATTATGTCTAGTTGAGCTACACACACAAACACATATATACATACATATGCACATATATACATTTTGCTGAACAAGACTGACAAGGTACTTTTGATTTATTATAACAGTATAACAAAAATTATCCTCAAAAATGGCTAAGTTAGCCAAAAGTGGTTGAAACCAACAAACTTTTACACACTTTTTACATTGAATTCAGTAAAGACACTTGTATGTATACAAGAAAAACTTAACAAAAATCCCTTGCGAGTCTTGTTCAATGAAATATGTTGAATACACAACTATACATACATATACTTATATCTTGAATACACAACTATACATACATGCATATACTTATATGTATAGAGATTTTATTATTTTCATAACAAATTATATATGTACACTTGTAAAATCTGCAAATTGAAATTTAACTGAAGTAATGTTCACTTCATAAGAGTAAGAGTTATGAACAGCTTAAATGATAATGTCATTAAATAAAATACTTACCTTAATAGCAGCATTAAAATTTGCTTCTCCTAACATTGAATCCAACATCATAAACAACATGGCACTCTGAAAACAACAGAATGGGTCATAATAATAAGTACACTTCACATCAATGTTGTCATTGCAAAATTTACTTTCATTTTCAGTATTGCAGCCTAATTAGAATTCTTCTTACCCAACATCATCTCCACTAACATCATCAAATTCATTTTGTCATCATATTCTTACCACATCTTTGGACATGATCATAAATACAGATTTAAGTAATGTTGCAACTCTAATGTAATTATAGAATAACAAAACATTGTGGATCTGTTTTTTCTTGCTCATATTCAAAACTTTAAGATGAGTGCCAAATTTTAATTAAAAACAAAAATCATATTTATCCATGTCATCAAAAATGATGTCATTTTTTTTTACAGTAAGGTTCACTCTGTTCAAGGCACAATGTAGAGTGTTACATTAGGAAGCAGTTTGTACAGATAGGAGGGGGAAAATAATGGCTAACCCTAGATTCGAACAGGTTAAGTTTGTAGTGATTAGGGAAACATTTTCTTGGGAGTCGGTTTGACAGGGCAGTGGTTCACAGGAAGAAGCTATTCAAATAGAACTTACTTCACACTGATGGAATACAGAGGGAATATGGATGTAAGTGGCATGGCAGGCTCTTGTTGTGAAGGTTAGAACTAGCAGAACCAAGGAATGTAGTTTGTCTGAGCACTTTCTGTGGAAGTACTGATAGAGCAGTGAGAAGCTTGCTATATCTGCCTGTGAGAGAGAGGTTGGAGGGAGAAAATAATTTGTGACCCACAAGGACCCGGAGACGCTTTTGGACTATCAAGGCTGGAGAGTGCAGTTTGGGCAGGTCCTGCCCAAATATGACAACAGTACTCCATTTTTGGCCTGTTCTGGCTCTTGTAAAGATATTTACAAGAGTGGTACAGGGAGCTGACTATTTTACATTGACTATTTTATTTTTATCTTTAATGTCCTGCATTTTCTTATGTTCAATACTTTCTAAATGTTAAATCTAACTCAAAGAAAAGGAGCCACTAATAAAAAAAGAAAAAACAATTGACTATTGGTCTTCAGCAGCAGTAACTGTAACAAAAGAGGAACTTCAGTGAAGGCAGTCAAGTATGACCTGCATCATCAGCAATCATCAACAGGCAGGTTAGGTTTAAGGCTCTAAGTTCACAGAATTATCCCACAGGACAATAGACAATTGGATTAAAGTGTTGGTTTGTGAATGTGGTGACATATTAATTGTAAGTTTTATCCCTGGGCCGTATGTACTTGAGTTCAGCTGAAACAGGTGAGAAATAACAGAACAGTGCCAATGTGGTTCCAATCCAATAGGAAATGATGGTAAAATACTTCCCAAAACCACACAAATGCATGCTGGGATTTCTTCTTAGCCAATAAGATAGGCCACTTCTTAGTCTCATCTAATTCATTTCCGATCTGTCTCATTTTGAAGACAGAACACTACATTCGTTTATCTAAATCTGCTCTTGTGTATTAACACCATTCTTAGTTTGTGAACTTTTTGCCTTAATTATTGTTGCTTTGCCTTACATATATTGTTTGTTTGCTTAATATTATTTTTACTCAGTTCTTTTCTTTTCTTGTTATTGTTTATTGCAAACTTTGTGAAATCTGTTTGTTGGGCAGTTTTAGCATTTATATTTAACTATGACCACTTACTCTACAGCTAACATAAGAACTAAATGAGATATGCCTAGACTTGGGCAGTGGATCAAGAAGAATCTAACCCCATAGATTAAATAAAGGGGTAAGATTGACATACACCTGAAGAAGGTTAGAGGGCACAATGGCCAAAATACTGTGATATTAACAACAAAGATTAGGACAATCGTACACATATAAATAAAAATATCTTGCTTTAAAAGAGAATTTATCTTCAGAGCCAATCAGTTTAAGAGTTTCTTTAAACTAATATTTCTATTATAAACAATTTCCATTTCTGCTATTTCACTGGAAGAGTCCAACCTAAAGATGTAATAGAAAAAGGTCACACTCACACACACAAGAATATATATAAATACACATTGCATTTTATGCATATATATAAAAAAATAAATAATAATTTTAAAAAATTGACATTTCTAGATTGAACAGAAATTATAAATCAACTTATCAAGATTGGAATATAATATACTTTTGGAACTGCCAGCAAAGAATTCACAAGACCCTCTCTGTTGCTGTTTTCTTGTACAGGATGCGATGGATAAATTGTCGTCTAAATTATGTAAAGATGGAAATAACACTGACATCTCATTTTAATAGATATATTTACCAAAATTACACAAAAATATCTTGAAATACTAAAGAGTAATTTCATTCAATAAAATCACCATTGGCTTCAACCATGGCCTCCAGACAACTTCAGAATCTTTCCAAACTCTTGTGGACAGTCTCCTTGTTTAAGTTGGTGAATGCTACCATAATCCTTCTGTGAATTTTGTTAAGAATCTCAAGATAAAAGGTAGGAGCACCAGACCAGATATGGCAGCAATATTCAATGCACAGAAAAATAGTAGATTCATAAATGTGCAAATGGATTCTGATGAGAAAAATTGTCTGGTACAATAGTGAACTGACTTTCTTAGCACTAGACCTAGCATTTGATTCAATATAATCACTCCACTTCATGTCAGTGGAAATCATGAGCCCAAGGTGCAATGAGTTGTTCCATTGGAGGTTAGTATCAGCCATGCTGATGGCTTGGATTAGAACAGATTTTTGTTTTACAGCATATCAAACTTAGTAAGGTGTTTTGTGGAACAGTCATTGAAGGAACAGTTGTGCAAGATTTTTAGTAGAATTCTGACAATTGGAAATATAGTATTATTTCGGAGAACTTTTTCTTTCTATATTTAGGTATTTTGGGATTATGTAGTTGTATTTTGAGCTTTCTTCTATAAGTGTTGGGAGTGGTTTATTTCTTTTAAGTTGCCTATTATTTGAGAAGCAGGTACATTTTTGAAAGGTATGGTAAGGTTTTTACATTATAGTATTTGTTGCTTGTTTTATTTTATATTCTTTGCAATCTATTAAGATGTACTTAATAGTGAGTATTTGATCACAAGAAAGGCACCAAAGTGTAGTTTCTGCTTTGAGTAAATATGTGTGTGTAAGATGTGTATGTCCATTTTGGACTCTGCTTAGCACTATGTCCTATCTTTGATCAGATAATGGTTCTCTATTTTCCAGCCTGACTGCTGATTGATGTTTTTTTGTTTGGAAAGATATTCCAAATTGTTTGCCATTTTCTTTTAATGTATTGCATGATCATATTTTTCTGATGTGTATATGAGAGCCTAATGTTTGTTAATATCATTTTGTTTGCTTCTTTTGCCAGTGCATCAGCTTCTTCCCTTAATTTCCCTTAATGTCTAGATGGGTAGTAAATCAGGTCAAGATGATTATTTTGTGGGTTTTTATCAAATAGTGACAGGTTTGAGAATATCATGAATTTTCTGTCTTTTGAGATTTTGATCATTTCAAGTGCCATCTGTATAAATGGAGGCATTGTTTGGCAGTCTGATTTGCTTTTGGACTTGTCTGTTGGTGACTGCTGCACCCGTTCTGTCCAGGATTTTTTATCCATCTGTATAGAATGCTTTGAAGTTGCTGATATTTATCTCTCAGTTCTCTATATTTGTTTTGACCCATGTAGTTGTGTCAGTGTTAGGTCTATGTGAAGCTCAGAGATTAACTGTGGAGCCATTTTATTCATTTTTGAATGGTGTTATATTATCAAGGTTTGGGCGCCTCGGCATGGTGTGATGGTTAGCAAGCTGGTCTTGCTAAAACTGTTATAACTGAATAGTGAGTTCGATCCTCATACTTCAGCCATGTGCCACATCTAAGCTTCGCTTAGAAAATCAATATATTATCAAGGTTTTTGTTCACTTGTTTTAGTGCTTCTTTGATTAAAAGTTTAAATGAGGAGATAGCTGTTGGTCTATTATTGTAGAATTAAATATATTATACATTTTTGGTATGTTGGGTTGTTTGGGTTGGATTGTAATTTTAGTGCCTATTGGTAGGACAATGTCCAAAGTGGTTCTTAGGCTTCTACATACAGACTTTGTGTAAATGAAGTTCAGAAGGTACCTAAACTTAGTCTCAGACCATGATTTTGTATGGTTTGTAGTCTTTTTAGGTAAGATTTCATGCAACACGGACTGTAGATAATGCATCCATAGACTAATTTCGATCTGATATGTGATCTATATACTTTGAGCATTACCTTCCGATCAGCACACCAGTCCATTTTTTTTATATTATTTAAGAATTTCAAATCCCTTTGGCTATTTTTGTTTTAGGTGATTAATGTGTGTTTTAAAGTCAAGTTTATTGTCTAATATGACTCCTAGATATTTTGTTTGTTGGATGATGGGAATTATGTGCCTGTTTATTTTTATTTGTGGGTTAAGGTGGTATGCTTGTTTTTTCAGAAATGCATATTTGTTTTAGAAAACCAGAAACAGTTTTCATGGGTCCATTGTTTTCTATCTTATTTAAACAGATCTGCAGGTCTTTCAAGTGATGACATGTTTGGAGATGAATATGTAAATGAGAGATCCTCTACATGCAGGGACTTTTCGATACTTTTTATACTGCTTCATTGAGTATTTCCTTGTTGATTTGAGATGGGCAGATTTCATTGATATTTTGACCAGTTGGCTTTGTGAAATTGCCATTTTAGATTCCTCTCCTCTGACTTAGAAAGATAGGTGAGTGGTCACTGCCACATTTACTGTCATGGACTCTCCACTAAAAATCCATAAAAATTATGGTTAGGTCAATGTCTGATGTTGAGCCAGTGCCTGTGTTTAGATATGTATGTGTTTTTTTTTATTAAGGAGGCATACATCAGATGATTCTAAGAGAGATTCTATAATTCTACCAGTCTGATTGAACATGCTACAACCCCACATTTTGCTGTGTGCATTAAAGTCTCCCATTAATAGAAAGTGAGTGGGAAGTTGGTCAATTAGTCTTTCAATTTCAGTTTTATTCAAGCTGTGTTTTGAGGGGAATGTACATTGAACAAATAGTTTATTGCCATGGTCTGAAAGCTTATAATTAACTGTAATACGTCATGAGGTATTGATTTGTTAACTAATATTGAGATGCCGCCACTTGGCCTATTGTCTGTTGTCAACATGTTTGCTTTGCTGTAAGTGTCATATCTTTAAAGGAGATGTTGGTTTCTTTGAGGAAGGTCTCCTGAAAGCAGATTATGTTTGGGTTGTGGTCTGTGAAGAGTTGTTCGATTTCTTTTTTTATGTTTCTACCCTTCCATTGTATAATGCTTTTATTCTGCATATTCATTTTAGTGGTATATATTTTCCTCTTCTTTTGTGAATTCTTGGATTTAGGTTTTGGGTATTTGGTCCTCTATGTTTTATTCTCTATTTGTTTGTATTTTTGATTGTGAACTTGTTCTTCTCCAACTATTTGTATGTTCTTGTTTTATTAGGGCTTTTCTCATTTTGTTTTTTTCTTCTAGTGATCTTTATGTTGATGGGTCTCCTGTTTGTTTTTAATTGTGATTTTCCTGTATTTAGAATTTTGGATTTGTTTTGTATTGGAGTTTGGTTGATTTTTGTACCATTGGTTTTCACTGTTTGTTGAGTTATTTGGGATGTTTTGAGTAGTTTGTAGTAGGGGGAGGAAGGTTACTGTTAATCATCCCTGTATTATAATTGCAACACTGGAGAAGGATCTAGAAGGTAAATAGGCACTGTTGAACTTTTCTTCTTTTCTTTTTTACTAGTAAAAAAACAGAAATTGACTTAGAAATTACAGAAACAATGGTGAGTGTTGAAAACTTTATCTTTTTTTTTCTTGCTCAAATCACATTTGTATCAACGTATAAGGAGAAGAAAAAACTATCTGGCCACCATTTATGACTTTATGCTATTTACCTTTTGGCATTTAATTAGAAGTTGTTCAAATATTCATTCCACAATTACTTTGTTGCACAATCAGGAAAAGTTTATTTCTGTCTGATTAAGAGGCAAATTTTGAAGAAAAAAGAAAGCAGAATAATTTTACAGTTAAAAGTCAATGAAAGGACTTACTTCTTCATAGGCCAGTGTTGAAAAAGATGATGAACTTAGTGAATATGACAAGGAACTTTGTTTGTTGTCCAAGGCTTTAAGCCTTGCTTGGTACAACTGGTTTTTATCCTAGATTTTTAAAAAAGAAAAGAAAGAATACTGAGTTTTTTGATTAATAGTATCTAATTAGAATCTTCAAAACTTACTTGTTTCACTTCCTTGCATTGGTTATAATAATTATATAAGTATAACAGTAAAAGCAATTATACTTTTTACTATATTTTAAAATAGAATTTTATTCCACTTCTATTGTACAAAATTATTCAGTAAAATTTTACAAAGAAAAAAAAAAATTTAGAAGTTTATCTGATCATATATTTTATGGCTCTTAAAAATCAAGTATAATTAACAAACTAATTGAAGTCAAAGAACACAAAAAAGTACATATACAGTCATACATATTATTTATTAATAAAACCGGTTTATAAAAACCCCAATTCAAGATATATCTTATTTCTTAATTAAACAAATATTGTCTCTAAAGTTGATATAATTTGTTACTTCAAACTGTAATGAAGAAAAGCTGATAATATTTTTCATAAAGGAGAGCTTTCTATCTTCAATTCTAAAAGAATGAATATATAATTAATATTCTTTTTAAATTTATAGCATTCGAAGCAAAGTTTTGTAAATATCAAGAAACACCATTTTTAAAATGTGGCAAAGAGTTCTTTTTCACCCTTTCAAGTAACAAGAACTGATTACAATGGTAGCCATTAGATTTTTATTTATTTTTCTCTCTTATTGAAAGAAAATAGGCAGTTTGACCCTTTTGACATCATATATAAATATTAGACAATAAATCTTCCATTGATGGAAAGATACACAAAGGAAGACAATTATAATCATAGATAATGTTATCAATTACTTGTTAGAAAAATCAGTCAATCCGAGGCACTGAATTAAAAATGAGCTTAAAAAAATTATTATTTCAATTCAATAAATTGTGTATTGTTTTTTTTTAAATAAAAAGTTGTTTATAACAATCAATTTCATAACATAAACATGAATGTAAACTGAGTACTAGTAAAGGTTTTGGAACAATTTATGCTTACATCATTAATAACTATATACTACAACAAATTAACAAAAAGGTCAACATCAGTAATACACAGTTATCAATAACATAAGCGGAATTCCAAACTTGGCATTTATAATTAAGCACAAGGTACAGATTACTCTTTAAAAAGCCATATAAAGCTGAAACACTGATTCTTGTTCAATCATGAAATTAAGCAATGTTACACCTGGTCAGTACCAGCTATGGGTTAAATATAAGATTTACACCAGAAAATCATTATTATCTCCAAAAAGTTCTTACAATCCCAAAATAGGTTTCATCTTCAAATAACCTTAAAAAGAATAAGCCATAAAAAACAAATCAATCAAAAAGACTCTGTTACAATGTGATCACAAGAAGTGGCTTCCTTTCTCTGCACAAATATAAGTTACTAGTAGCATGGCCCGGTGTTGCCTGTGCTTGATTCAAAAATCATATGACTCATACAGCGGCTAATATCACTTGACTTAAAATATTTTTTGCCCTTCCTTGCCTTTTAAAGGAGTGCCCTGCCATGCTGATGTTGCTACATGCCTGACATTTCTTGCCTATCTCACACTGCGAATTTTTTTTCTAAGCTCTATACTAAACATTAAATCTGTTACGAAAAAAAGAACTAAACAAAATTAACACAAAATGATTAGCTTTAAAAAAGGACTCGAACTGGAAAAACTGAATGAAAAAGAATGTTAACAACAAATACTTTTTCACACCCAACCCAGTTCTGCAGAATCAGAATCAACATTGAGTTTAAGCAAGCGAATGAGCCAATTGGAGTAAAGTGCCATGCAGATTTAAATTTTTCCCACTTGTGACGAATGCAGCTATCGATTTTTTTTGCATGCTAGTTAACATTCATGTCAGTTAGCTGTTGGCTCTCATGCGGGCCAATAGAATCTTCCTGCCTATTCGTGGAAGCTAGCTATAGTCTCTCACTCTGGCCAGTACAAAATGGCTGCAAACTACATGAAAACTGCTGTAGAAGCATGAAAAAATCGATTATTTCCATTATTGATGGGAGTTGGGAAATGCAAAATCGGTCTTTGCCTTCCCGCTAAGTTGGAGCATGTGCATGTAAATTTTGGTGCAAATTGCGGCCATACATTCGTTACACACACACACACACACACATCCTGCCTTTTATAGATAGAGATTCAATTTTTTTAGATGACATATTCTCATTATAAATTTTGACTAGTTTATACTTCAGTTTCTTATTGCAGCTTAATTATCAGTTTATTTTAAACTCTAAAACCATTGGAAAACCATTAGAAATAAACAAATGATCCCTGATAAAACATCCCATCTCATATCCTTGCTGAGCCAGTCTGAAGTGGACAGTATTATGAGAATTTTATCAGAGACTATCTCTTTATTTCTGACTAATGTTGTTTAATACATTCAGTGGCAAATAACATTAATTAACATTGTCACTGTTAACTACCAAGTAATGCTAATTATGTAATTTTTCCCATTTTGAAATTTGCACCTTGTCTTCATTTTCTCCTCCTCACATAATTAATATCTACTTTTCTGTGATGCTTTTTAGTGTCTGGGGAATTCCCATTGTTCCCTTCATGTTATTACACCTGTCAGCAAAAAGATTGTGTGTGATGAAGGTATTAACAGTTGCAGAATGTAAAACAACTCGAGCAATATAATAAAAACGCAAGAATAAAAAAATAAAAAAACAAACTAGTCAAAATGAATAAGATATACATGTGTTACTATGCAAGTATAAAACTATATAAAAAGTAGACCATGAAATAAACACGCTTACTCCCTTGAAAGAAGAATGAATTTTCCTAATTTCTCGAAGACTCAAGTACTCTGTTAATCCTTCAGTCATCCAAATGTATTTCCAGTCATCCACCGTCACAAGATTACCAATCCACTGAAACAAAATGAAAAGGAAGTAAAAATCAATGATTTGATCCAACCTGTATTAATCATCACTCTATACAGGATCACTTGATTATACAACAGTTAGCAAATTCATTTCAAATGATGGATACTCAGTTCATTTTCATAATTGAAGCTTTGAAACAAAGTTCAAAATGTAATACTCAAGAAAAATGAAATAGTTGGCATGCATGCATATTTTTTATGAGAGAATCACCAACACCAGGAAATAATAAACTCACCTTTTTAGCATTAATACAGAATCTCTAATTTGTATAGTTATTTACATAATAGTTTCTCTCCATGTTTTGACTGTTTGAGATGTATTTTTTGTGTAACAAAACAAGTTCAGTTGACCATGATGACAATTCCAGAACAACGTAGCTATAAACAATTTTTTTGCTATCTTCTGCCAGCCGCAATGATGGAGAAAGCATTACCTCAAACCATCGCCAGTGAGACACGATACTTAGTTTCGCGAGGCTTGTCCCTTAATCGAGACGCAATTGCGCCAATCCTCCAAAGGAATGCCATTGAACGAGGGCCAATAACCCCTGAAGTCTCCACTGTCACAGGAGTAAAAAAAAATCTATCAGCAAGAGAAGAATATTTAACTATTTTTTTCATCCCTTCATCCCGGGCGACGGATCCTGGCTCAACCTGATCAAATTACTGGCCGAAAATGTATCTGCACAGGTCGCATCCCAAATCAACGACTTACACATTTTAAAAGGGAAAATGGTAATGCCATCTGGCCACTTTCCATCAACATGGTTGAGGCCTCACGGTTCGATTTATATATAGAACCCAGTTGCATCCAAACAACTCTTTTGATGATGTCGTTAATGGCTGCATGCTGTGGAAAGCGGTGGCACTTTTGACAACAGGAGAGGATGCAAACCAAACTCATCGGTGGAGGCTGCCATCTGCATCTGTGGCGCTCACATAATTTGAGTCCAAGACGGATCCTGACTCCGACTTGAGTGCACTCATCATCTAGAAGGTACCGGTAGATGAAGAGGGCACTGCGTTGAGCCAGGTGCCACTACTCGATGGTGAAGCAGATAGTAGACAGGCGAGGCGATGCCGATCCAGAGAGAGCCTCAAATTAGTAAAATTGGGCTCGCATTTTATTTTATCCCAGCTTTTTTGTTTTGATGTGTCTAGTGGGAGAGAAAGTAATTCTTGAGTCCAGACGCTGCAAGCTTGTTTGAAAGAACTACCTGAGAAACACTGAGACAATCCACCGAGTATCTCATCAATTAATTCATGACTGGACGAAAGTGAAGAAAGATATGCTGGAAGGGCCAAATCTACCGCTGATCGATAATTTACATAATTGTTTTTCAATTCATCCCAAGAAAGGCAATTATGCCACTAAGGTGCAAGAAGTTACTGGGAGTGAAAGAGAATGGGATGACTTTAAAAGGAACCAGAAATCCAATCCTAAACAGGAAGCAAGAGATAAACCTTTACTCTTCTACAAAAGACTGGTTAGGAGTTTGAATCTACTCCTATTGAGGAACAAAAATAAATAGTAAATAAAATTTCAGTGTGTAGGTGGAGACATTAGAAGTTTAAAGTAGACTTTAGAAGGAAATGGAACCCCAATCCTAAAAAAGAAATTGATGGTATTAAATATCTCAGATGAATTTACATTTCTTTTCACAATGAATACAGAAAATTTTAAATGTGTAATTCATAATCTTAAAATGACCTTATCAGATAAACACAAAATAAAACAAATATTTAATAGATTTAAATTTTAATGAAGACTTTTTATAGAATACCAAATCATGTCACATACACAAGGATGAATCATCCTCATTCATTTCATATTCTATTACTTTTTACCATTTTTTTAATTAGTATTGCTCCAAGCAAGGCAGTAATGCCACTAAAACACAGGTGTGGAAGGATTAGGAACAGAAAGAATAATGATGACCAGAAAGAGAAGAGAGTAATCAAGAGGACAGTAGATAGTGATTGACATTGCATTCAAACTTCTGCAGATTAAAGTTGGCTGGAAAGCATGGAGCTCGAAGGAAGTTTCACAAGAGAGAAGTGTGAGAGAAGAAACTTTTAGCATAGAATTTACAGCTACATCTAACAAACTCACTGTAAATTGATGTGATCTCGGCGCCAGTTTAGTGATGCACTTAAATTAAAAAAGACCAGGTAACATAGCGAAGAACTCCTCTGAACACATATCATGAAAGTATTTATAGAAAAGACATAGAGAGGTAACCATATTGTAGTGGGAAAGTGACTGGAGCCAAGCTGCCAGATTAGGACCAATAATATTACTGATTCTCTTTTGAATCTTATCAAGGATCTCAAGGTAAATAGCCAGGGCACAGGACCATATATGGCAGCTATATTCTAAGCATGAATGAATGGTAGACTCATAGATATGTAAGATAAATTTGGGAGAGAAAAATTATCTCACCTGACATAGTAAACATACTTTCTTAGCAGCTGACCTAGTAATGGATTAAATATAGTCTTTCCACTTCATGTCAGCACAAAGAACATGAGCTTGAGAAGGTGCAACAAGTCACTTTCTTGCGGAAAGCAGTTAGAGGTTTCTCAGATGATTAATGGAGAAAAGTTTAGTTTTGGAGACATTAAAATTAAGCCATCTTTAGCCCCAGTAAACAACGGAGTTGAAATCATTTTGGACATCGGCTGCCATTTTGACCTTATCGGACTGATAAGCCTTACTATCAAGGCAGGAGTAAATTGTTGTGCCATCAAGAAGGTCATTAAGGAAAATTAAAAACATTGGTCCAGATAAATACTTCTTTATTTGCAGCAAGGGGTAGCCATTATTAATACTGACAGGAAGGAATATTTGTTTTTTAGGGAGCAATTAATCAATCAGAAATAGGAGAAGTAAGGGAGCCTTCACTCAGGCAGACATATGAATCAACATGCTTATACAACAGATGACATGAAATGGGAATCAACATTGATATAACTGTGCTGCTTGCGAAACCAAACTGAAGCAGACAACAAAAGCTAATTTATAGGCTTATCTATTTTGATTGGTTGTACTCTCAGGGAAACTCCTTGCTTTGAACATTTATTGGGATTCAAATTCATCCCAGACCTCAAGAGGAATGCATACATAATTAAAGATACTGGTAAAATAGTTGGTTTCTAGTATTACTACTGACTCCTCCTGCAATGTTCTAACTTTACAAGAGCCAGATCAGACTAAAAATGGAGTCCTCCCACCATTTCTGGATTGGAGCTGCCCAGTTCTGACTCTTCAGCCTTGATAAAGTTCAAATATGTATTTTAACATGGAGATATATATATAGCTACCAAACAGCAGAGATTTCAGGTGATTTCTATATTGATAAAAGTATATAAAATCTTTACAGGCATAAGAGTAATATCAGTATACAAGTGATGCTGAAAAGTTCTTGGTATGACGCACTCCACAAAATCTAAACAAATAGCCAAAAATAAGACTTCTTTTTTTAGGTGTGTCTTGGATGTTTATGAACTTTTCAGCTCCCACTTATGTGTGAACAGTTTCTTGTTGCTCAGAGGTGAATTGTTGTCCCAATCAAAGAATTTATATAGCTTTATATCTAATTATATTCTGCTCTACAACCCCTTTCTCACAAACAAGCCTCTCGCTAATATATTGCTATTTCCAAGGCAAATATTCTAATCAGCTACAATCATTAGATTCATTGGTTCAAACCTTCACAGCTAAGATCCACTTGGACATATACACTGGGACAAATCATTTTTATTCCATTCATATACCATTAATATGAAGAAAGTTCCATTTGGAAAGCTTCTTCCTTAGAACTGCTACTTTGTGGAACAGGTTCCTAAGTGGATACTTCCCTTATAGCTACAATCTTAACCACTTCAAATCTAGAGGTAATCATCATCTTTCCTATGTATCCTTATAATCTGCACTTCTTACCTCCTCCTCTTACATTCATACAATTTCATTCAGTAAAACTATCTTGAGTGCCTTTGGTGCCTGGTATAGGTGATCAGTTAGTAATAAAAATTTAGTGCCCTTTAGTTTGTTGCATTAATACATTGCAAAAAGCACAGAATAAGGCAAAACCTACATCTATAAAAAAACAAATATCTCGTGTTTTTTTCTTTGTGAAAGATACTCTTTGTTTTAAAACAAAACAGCTGTGCGGATGGCAAATTTGGGCACTGTACAGAAATATAGTGCTTTCTAAATATCCACTACAACACTAGTCTAGATTCATTTGTTGCTTGTCTGCTACCGTTATCATAGTCCCTTCTGGATCAGGTGACCAGGTGGTTTAGCTGTTGACCACCTGACTAATTTTCTTGGCTCCTACAAGTTTACTCAATACATGTGGGTTGGTTGCCCAAATAGCTTTTTCCCTTTGTCTTCTCATCTGACTAATTTTGCACATAGCATAATAGCCAATCAGAGAAAGAGATAACCCCAGCATATCCTATTCACTTTCCAACAAACAATCAATCAGAAGCTTTAATTCTTTAATAAATATTTTATCTATATGAGTAATAAAAAGATTAATTTAAAAATCTTTATTTTTTTTTATATTCAAAGAAACTACTTTTGCATTAAAATCTGATGCTGATATTTGTTGAAACAAACTAAGACCAACCACATAATTACCTGGTGGACAATTTCATGTACAATTGTAGTCAAGTATTGGGCTTCTTTTGCAGCTGAGACTTTGTTTGGGTTGAACAGCATGTACCTGGTGGACAACAGTATCAACCCCCAATTTTCCATTCCAGCATGGGGAAAATTATCAATAGGAAACAGATCTGGAAAATGTCAGAAAAATATTTCTAAAGAAAATATAATTTAAGGAACTTTTCTTTTAAAAAATTATTTCAGAAAGAAAATTGTTTACAGGTATTCAGTTTTAAATTAAAAAAAAAGAATTAAACTTGTTTATTAGATTTAATGAAAAAATAGTTTTGTAAAAGAACAAATAGAAGTTCTCAAAAAGCCATGAGGTTTGTCTCATTCAATCTCAATCAACCACACAAGGGAAGATTACTACACCATTGTGGCAGAAAAATTAGCAGATTTTAAAACAGTTTACTTGACTTGTGGAAAAGATGTAATCTGGAAATCTTATCTACCAGACAACCTCAAACGGAGCTTCTTTTGCACCATTATAGAGTCAGTATTAATGTATGGTGCCACTGCTAAAACCCTTGAGTCTAAGCTTGATGGAACCTGCACTTAAATGCTGAGAGCTATACTTAGCATCTCTTGAAGACAACATTAAACTCAATCATAGTTCTATGGACCCATTCCTGATTTCTACAGTCATATGAGAATGCACTTTGCAGGACACTGCAAAGAACTTGTGAGTGATCTACTGCTCTAGTCACCTCGCCATGGCGCAAGATGGGCTGGTCACCCAGCAATCACCTACATGACCAACTATGTAATGACACAGGATGCCACCCTAATGACCTTCTGACCTTGATGCAGGATCATGATGGTTGATGTGAGCTAGCTTGGCTGAATAAAAAAAAAAAACTCATGGCACTTATCACTGGTCAGGAATTAAAACAAATTTGTATGTTCATTGAACTACAAAACTGGCATCATCTATTGGAGAAGACCCCATTTTTTTCAAAACAAAAAAAGTATATTTACACTGTTCAGAATGTTGTCCTCATCTTAGTTGGAATTTTGAACCGAACCTTTTATTTAGTCCATTAACATAGATTCTTTGGATATCTCAGTTTCAGTTAATACACCTTAGTAACTCAACTCTCTAAGTTTTTGTTCCTTCTACTGTGGTCAGGTATTGAACTCACAACTTGTCACTTTTGGATCAATCAACCAATGCTTTTATCTACTGGGCCATGTGTTTTTGGGGACATCAGTGAGTGAATTTTTATATACCTAATGTCTCATTACAATTTTTTGTTATTGTTTTTCTCTAGCTCTCCATATTACTGGTTCCCATATTGTATTCATGTGTATGCTTAGCCAGCTTAGATTTTTGTAACCTAGCATATGTGCTGATTCCTTAAGTTTTAAGCATACAACAGAGGAACATTTTAACCTATGAGGTAAGTCACCATGTACATGTTTTAATGTTTAGTCTATAAAATTACATCTTCATAAGTAACAAGAGCAAAAAATATGATTTTATCTTTATTTTTGCTCTTAAAAATTAGCATTCCTTAACATCAAAATTTATGTATCTGTTTCTCATGTAGTACTTTTATATTGACATGGATACTGGCTTTTCTCCCCAAATTACAAAAAACTGCGGAATTTCTTTTTGAGATAAAACTTTTTACAAATTTTTCATTAAGGCTTCCTTGTTTTGGGTTGAGAATTTTGATCTCCTCAGGGAGGCAAATGAGACTAAGAAGTGGCCTATCTTATTGCCAGGATGACAAGTGAATGCATTTTGTGTGGCTTTTGCCAAGAAACAAAAAAATAATATAGCTAAAAAATATAAATTCCCAGTTAGATTGGAACCAAACCCAGATAATCTAATGGATGAGTGCTTCTACTTTTCATCCCCTTTCTCCTCTTTATATGGGTAAACATTACACACCTATATATATAACATTTAAATTGATTTAGATACAAACTTTGGCAAAATTCAAGTTTCTTTGTTTTCTTCTTTTTCCTCTTCTGGCCATTTTTTCTGAAAACAAAAAAAAAGGAAGATTTTTAAACATCCTTTCTTTCTTTATTTTAACTTAGTGGGGTAGTTTTATTTAATTTATTCCCTATCAAAATTAATCTATCCACAGATTTTTTTTTTTTATTTATGAATTAAATGACTTTGAAAAAAAGTGACGTCCCCGTCTGCTTTCCATGGTTTTACATTCAGAATAAACCTAGAATGGATACCATCCAAATTTAGTCTACCCTGCTATCTAGCCCATAGCTGGAGAAGAAAGAGGTGGATTCATGCCTTTCACAAGGTCATTTATGCAAAAGTAAACAATGCATTTGTTTTTATTTATTTTGTGTTAACTTTCTTTGTATGTTTTGATTTTTAATGATTTGGAAAGCAGAATTCTTTCATATTATAAAATAATATATGACAATAGAATTAAATGTATCAAGTACACAGATAGTACACTTTTTTGTATGTTTCTTTGTTGATAACTTATCATGATAAGGCAAAACAACATGTAAGATGAACAAGTGAATCCTGACTCAATTTAAAATTATCTAACTTGGAGGTAAATATTTTGAAGAAATTTGAAAATTGAACATTAACTTTCAGATACTAAACACAGATACTATGCAGATCCTAGGTAGAAGGTCAGGGAGTGATAAATTGAGCCTAATCAGAGTGCCCAGATACTATGATGATCATAGGCAGAAGGCCAGGGACTAAGACTTTGATCCTAATTAGATGTACAAATACTCTGATCCCAGACAAACCATATGTAAAGAGTCCATTATTTTGTAAAGAGTCTATACTCGCATTAATTTAATGCACCATATTCAAGGGTCAATTTCTGTTTACATTATACAATAGGGTGCTGAAAAATTCTTGGTTTAGACAATAAAAGATTAAATAATTTTCATCTTTGCTCAGTTAAGTCAGAATTTTTCAGCATCAGCTCTTGCTATATATTCAGAGATTCTTGATAAAATCCAAAGAATAATCTGCAATGTTATTTTTTCTGACCTGGCATTTCAGCTTCAGTCACTTTCCAACTGCCATAATATAACTTTCTTGCACTTTTTCTATAAATATTTTCATGGTAATGAACTTTCCTCTGTTGTACCGAGACTTAATGAATTTAAGTGCAGTACTAGATTGGAGGCAAAGCCTCATTATTTTACACTTGAAATGGCTAGATGTAACCGTAAGATCTATGCTAACAGTTTCTTCTATGGATTTCTCCGCTTCTTTTGCCCCAGTCAATTTGATCTTCAAAAATTTAAATGCACAATTAGCGCTTCTGTCTCAATTTTGTTCTTTATTGTCCCTCTCTCCTTATTAGTATATTTTTCATATTCTCTAAATAATTTAGTAAATCTCTGTGTCTAGTGACTTTGACGTTTTCTTGGAGCAAATTAAAAGGAGCAAGGTATATAAATGTGTTGCAAATAAATTGTTTTAAGAATGATAATGGTAATTCATTAAATGAATATAAATTGATCTGAAGATTTAAGTATCAACTATAGTAAAACGAGTAAAAATCAGACAGTACTTACTTTTACAAGTGAAAAACAAAAATCAAACCAAAAGAAGAAAACTGTTTTTATTATTGCTGTTCAAGTTATCTTTCTGAATAAGAAACTGGATGAAAAAGGTTTAAAGAAGGATTCAAAATCTTTAATTATTTTTGTTACAAATATATTGAATTTTTTTTTTAAAATTTTCTGGATTAAAATGTATATATATACATACAACAAACATTTAAAAGTCTTGGAAATATGCCAGATTAATAAATAAAAAATTCATTACTTCTTTGAGAAATTGTTTCGTTTACGTTCAGATGAAACTGACCAGTTATGAGTTTTCAATTTGGGGGACAGTTTTTCCAAGAATTTGTATTTATAAAACTGCTGTTCATTGGTGACACACTATATTGGCGTCCAAGTCTGTCTAAAATACATTTGGATCTGGCAATGGTTTCTCACAAAGAGAGATGCGTATTTGGTCTGGAGAGTGCATATTTTTGTGTAAAATCATTTTGAATATTCAGACCAGCAGATGAAATAAATAAATATACCATTTAATAAAAAAGCGGAATGTCTATTCAAGTATAAGTATTCACTATTGGCCTAAAATAATATCTAAAGTGAAAAAAATTTTCTGAATTAATAAATTAAAAATCATTATTTCTTTAAGTACTTATATATATATATATATATATATATATATAATAGTCATTATTTAAAAATTTAAAAGAAAAAATAACAAAATTTAAATCATTTATCTTTGGACTGTATTTCTCATCTTTATATTTATTATCACATATGTTAAAGCATATAGGCCCTCTACATATATATATATATATATATACATTTTGGTTATAAATTATATATATATATATCTGGTTTATATACCTGTGTGTGTGTGTATATATATATCAATATATAGATAACAACAACAAGAGGAGAGAGATATCTGAGACATACATACATATATATATATATATAAATGTAAATATTTATCCATATATACACAAATGGATACGATATATATAGAACTACATGCCTATATCCTTTTGTACATACATACATATTTTTATATATTTATAAATATATATATACATATATATATATATATATATTTTACAAAATATTTTTACATTTAATTTACAAATTTAAACATATATATGTTATATATATTGGTATATATCCACATTCATATTTATTTTATATATTTATATTTATATATTATCTGAAACATACATACATATATTCACATACATGTTTTCAACATACATATATATACATATATATGCACATAAATATAATACATACATATCCATGCACCAATTATATATACATACAAGGTTACATCATATACATATATACACATACATTTAGATATATTTTTTTAAATATTTTTTATACATACATACATATATATATGAAAACATATATATATACAAGGATACATATATACATATATATATATATATATATATACATATATATATATATATATATATATATATATATATAAATACATACATATATATACATATATACATACATATATATATATATATATATACACATATATATATATATATATATATATATATACATATATATATATATACATATACTTTTATACATACAT